ACAAACTTGAGGAACGTGATTTGATCAAGTACTTGCAGAAAATGGGCTTCACGCCAAAATGAAGATATGATAAGGGAAAGGTGCACCTTCCCACGACACCATCAAGAGGTGGACGGCAAAGTTTAGGAGTTGCAGGAACAAACTATGGGAAGCTGTACAGCATGAAACGATTGATGACACTTATTCTGAATAGTAACAGAGATATTACCAACAAAATAAGAACTGTACTCCATTTGAGCCGATGTACAGTCTACCCCACTGATTCGAAAGATGTGTACCAGCTGATGTGGAGCAGCACATTAAACACTGTAATCATTTATTTGTACTGGATTTACTGGATGTTCAGCTATACCAGTGCTTCAACTGTAAAAGTCCAATCAAGGGCAGTTTCAGAGATATAAAGTATCACACCGCTGAGGAACAACCAAGGTGAAGGTGACAAAACTAACAGCAAGTGCAAGAACTGGACGATCAGGCAAACTGTTGTATTGTGATGCTAATTTGCAAGAATGTGTTGCCTTCTTATGGAAAGCAGAAAGTAGTCCTCACCATAAATATACTGAAAAAGGAAAACAACTGGAAATATCTATACTAACAGAAAAATGTGACTGTGTTTATATAATTTCAATAACAATGTAATTATGCTGAAACTAAATAATACAAATTTCAATACATATTCATGAAGACATCTCCCCGACTTTAAATTCGTGATCCACAATTTGCATCTTTGAGTGTTTGTTTGGAGCATGATATTCATACACGTGTGCACAGTGATCATTTAGGTATCAGATGCTCATCAAACAATGTTGTTTTACCGCAAATAACGTTTACGCAATGACACGCGCTAAGGGTATGCTGCAAGCAGGAATGGCGCAAAACGAAGTTTCCAGATAATGTTCATCGAAACACAGTAGTATCTCTTTGTAGACGTCATCTACAGCAGCGCAACAAAACTGACATGCCATGGGCCGGTCATGCACGCCACGTCAACCATATTCGGTAAGTGCATCTACGGAATCGATACCAAACTGCCACATTGACAGCTCGTACAATTCCTGGGTTGAGACGATTTAATGGCAGAGCCGTACGTAACCGGTTGAGGGAGCCCAAAATGCGGCCCCGACGTCAAGCGATATGCATAAATAATGCTTCCAGGTCATCGTTATAGTGTAGACAGAAGCCATGACTGGGACAGTCTACAGTTCACTGATGAGTCCAGGCTTTATCCGGCCTGCTCTGTTGGTCGTGCAAGGGTCTACAAGCGTCCAGGATAACGTCCAGGATTCACTGACACTTGGGTTACTCAACGTCGTCTGTGCAGAGGTGGAAATGTAATGGTATGGGGTGGCATCACAACTCATCGGAACTCATTTGAGCAGGATAACGCCAGCCCACACGTTGCCTCAGTTGTAACATACTTCTTGAGGCAGCATAACACTGCTTTTGTGCCATAGCAGTCTGTTTTATTCAGGCCTCCCTCCCATTAAACATGTCTGGGATAAGATAGAACGACGCTTACGACAGGACCAGAACCAGCTGATCACGCTAGCTCAGTTGTGACAATCTTTGGTTGACATTTGGAACAATATCCTCCTGGCTACAATCACTCATCTGGTGTCTTCAATGCACCACCGTTGACCCCAGAGGTTCTTGAGGAAGTAAGGAAACACAAACTCATTACATGGTTTCACAATTTCTTGCAGTTAACTGCACTGGAAAGAATGCCACCAAATAACATTGACAACTATGCTACTATTTCTGGATGTTGTTGAATTTTACAGTTGTCATGAGATACAGTGAAACTGTTAAACGTTTCTGGAGATTGGCATACAAATTGTGTTACGGTCCTTTATTACGATTCATTAGTGGCTAAAGATATTACGACAGGCAGACAGACAGACAGACAGTTAGTTCAGTAATTTAGGCATGAAGGCCCATAGTACAATGCAGATTGGATATTAACATTTGTCAAGTGATGTACATGATTAGATTTTAAATCAAGTTACACATTCCTCACTATAAAGACATGTTTTAAGAATACAGAAACAGTATGGATCATATCAGGATTTTCAGAGTTTTGCAGAATTATCATTAACTGACGGTCTTTAAAAATACCTTGCTACATGGGGACAAATGTATACTTTGAAAGTTAAATATCTTTTAGTTTAGTGCTGTAATTGCTAAGATAAAGTGATTCAGAAATACTTTGGTGCCACTTTTGACAAAATATATCCTTTAGTCTTTGCTTAAATAAATATAAAAATAACTGTGGATCTCCCACATCTTGGGAAATCCATACACTGACCAATAATACATTTTCTGAAAACCAATCATTTTTACCATTATCATCAAGTACCTTTAACATTTTGAAACACCGATATGGGTATCTATCAGGCACAAGAAATTAAGGCTACATATAGAAGAGATTCTAGTGGTAATTACAAACCATTTTCGGCCAAGATAAACTTTGCTCTCCCAGATATTAAAGAAACTGGAACAACTAACAACCCATTGGAAACAACGAGAGAAATCTCTGCTGGGCTTTCACCTGAAATAATGGTTCCTTTTGTTAATTAAAACGCTTCAAACGAAAATTACAAGGTTTACTTTGATGGCATCCAAAAATTATAGGAAGATACTCAGATTGTAATTATTAGTGAAATTGAAAATGTTGAGCAAAATGTGCTCCCTATCAGTCCTTGAATGCACAGTGGATCAGTGAGACTGTCATTTCCGCGGTGTTATTTCCGAATCAGGGGGGAAGACTGTACATCAGCTCATTTTGAGTACAGGTCTTACTTTGTCAGAGTCAGAATAAAAGGTTGCAGTGTTAACATGACTGGGAATTACATCAATAATTTGGGAACCAAATTGAATGTTTATCTTTCGGATGCCTATTTCACCTAAATAGGGATTTAAAATGCTTTTCTCCGCATAAAAGGCGAATCCATCAAACATACAGTAAAGTGTCACCTTAAGTTATAAATGAAGATAAGCATCATTAATATTTCTGTCATTATGTCCCTATCCTGTCATGTTCATGCCAATTGCTTTGAAAATGTTCCACATCAGTAATACAGCTCCGCAGTTTCCCATAGGGTAAGGAAGAGCCTTGAAGATGATTCCCATCCTGGAAGACCTTTGATGTCAGCAACACCAGAAATGATCCAGCGAATCCACGATATGGGGATGTTCAACCGGTGAATCACTAAGCGTGATATTGCTATGTCAGTAGGCATATACCAGGATAGGTTACGTTCCATTATCACAGAAATGTTGGCAATAAAGATAGTATCAACTCGTTAAGTTCCAAAGCTTCTGATACCAAAAATAAAAAACGCACCAAGCACATGTCTCATGATAATCTAGCTGTGTTCGAAAATGGTCCCGAAAGGTTCTGGCAACATTTTGTGACTATGGATGCAACCGGGCACACTTCTTCCAGTCTGCGTCCAAACAACAGTGTGCAAGTACTAGACTTCTCTTCACGTCCCACATGTCTGTCCATTTTCCAATACCTGCTAAATTTACTGAATTGTCAGAGACAAATCTCTTGCTTAAGAGACTCATATATTTGTGGATATACCTCTGTGATATCATGTTATGTCCACTATCACGCAAGTAATCCTATGTGAGACGTAGAATTTATCTATCAACGCTCGTAGCTCTTGCAAGGAACCTAAAAGTTACATATAAACGGGAGTAGCCGGATAGCTCAAAATGCGATGATGCCATGTGTTCTTGAAAATGTAAGAGCATCTAGCCCCTCTAATAACACCAATCACAAATACATGCAAAGGTTAGTCACGAGTTCACCTGAGCAAAAACGGGAACAAGTCAACACCGGGTATTGCATCGGACATTACTTTGGTCACTGGTGCGTCAAATTTGGTAAATTCATTGCATTAAAATATCATTAAGTGCCTCTCCGCAGAAAAAAGGTTCATACAACTGTTACACCTTATGCACCCAACCAAATTTTATTCCATTTATTCCTTTGCTCTAGTATAGCATGTATCCAATAAGTAAATCATCTGTTCAAAGCGGTCCAAAACCCAACTCATTCACCCACTCGTTTAACCATGATAAACTACATGATGTACCTGTCATGTATGTCCATATGAAAACATAACTACCATAAATTTCGCTTTCCGTACTAAATTCATTATTTTTCATTTTATCAAACTACTTCGATGGACTGCCATGATGGGAGTTTGTTGCTGATTATCCTGCCAACAATACTGCAGTGCCTGTATCCCACTGCTGTATCCCATGGTTGCAAATCGCTCAACACAATCATTTGGGTCTGCTTCAAAATGACGTTAATTCTCAAGAGAGATAATGCACCTGGCGCGCAGGATCAGGAGTCAGAAGCCTTGAAAATCGGTGTGCTGCAGCCTTTTGTCGTGTCCAGTTCATTCCCCAGGATGTTTTTAACATTTTCATGAGAGACCCATTACTGTGACGTGTGACGAGTCATCGGTTATCCGTAATCATATCTTGCATTTTATCAACATTTTCCTTATTGGTGGCAGTTGTAGGTGTTCCTGATCTTTGGATCATCTTCGAGGCTATCTCGTCCCCTCTTGAAATTCGCTTCCAACCTCTTAACAGTCTCAAGGGAAGGAGCATCATCCCCAAAACTTGATATCATGTCCGCAGGAATGGCTGTAGGGATTAGCCCTTTCAGTTGGACTTACTCCATCACAGCGCTGACGTTTTGTCCATTTTCATCAACAGAGAATACCTTGTCACTCCAAAGCCTGCAGCAATATGAGTCTGGTTGGGTAGTTATCACGCATGGAATGTATTATATTTCATACATGCCAACAGTTAAGGTCATACTGCACTTCCTTCGTAGTTCCATGTAAGTTAACACACGCATACATATAAGTAACCCCACATGCATACACGCACATAAATACACACGACATACATGTGTACGTGTATTTAAAGGTACTTAAAACTGATTAATTTCATATTATATATTGTATTCTTACCTTTCAACACAAATTGACACAAGGGTGAGGACTGATGCGTAGAGGGCCATGACAAGCACAAAACGATTAACTTTACAAGCTAAAAGGTCCAGTATCCAACCTCTATTAATCATAAACTGGATTATCTCTGGTACGCCGAAAACCATAATCAAGAGGTCTGCGACTGCTAAGTTGGTTATAAGAAGATTAGTGACGGATGCCCTCATCTTCCTGTCGCAGACCACAGCGTAAATGACCAAGAAGTTTCCAGTGATGCCAACAGTTCCGATGATAAAGAAGAGCACACTGAAACACACGACTTCCGGTAGTCCTGCACCACCCGAATGTGGCGTGTTGTCTGTGGACGTATTTGTTATTGATTCATTGAGTGTTACTGTTAGGTTTTCAAACTCCGTGATGTTCATTTTGAAGCCTGTGAGCTGTTCCAACCCTACCTCCGTCTCTCACCTACAAAAGAAAACAAACAACCGTCATATATTTGATTGAAAACCTGAAAATTGCAAGTTAGTGTATGGCTGAAAGCCATTGACATGGCGTAGTTAGCAAATATGTCATGATTTAATCGATTTCGATTTCTGTGTTTCCGCGTGGGTATTTATTTGTCAACAACTAAATACAGAATACGATTTTTAATCTATCATTATTTTATATGCAAATAATTAATGTTTCAGGTGTTAAATCAATTTCCAGTTCTATATAACTCTAACTCTAAAGCACAAAATATATACATGTAAGGTATCACGAAAGTCGGTTAACTTCATTAACCTTTGCGGTATGTCATTAATTTCTGATAAGGAACATGCTATCTGTCGTATGCTGTTGTCAAACGTTACTGCATGGATCGATCAATCAAATTGGTACCTTAAACATCATTTGGCGGTGTCAGTGCATGATATATGTTTCATGCAATCTAGTTATGACTCTGAGCCATGCAAAAAATAAAAGATACATGAGATATGATGAAAGATGGTTACATTTTCTTACGCATTGCAGTATGTCAGTTACTCCTGGTAATGACTATGCAATCTGTCGCAAGTTGAAAAAATAAACGACGGGTACCGCATGAATCGATCAATCAAAATGATAACTTAATTGGAGTTGTCCCATGACATTTTCCCCAGCTCACAGCTACAGTGATTAAAGGGGAAATCATGAGATATGTTGTTTATATCTAAAACATATACTTCATTGATGGACACATGTACATCTTGAAAATATATTACAGTATTCGTTGTTATTGTATTATTAATTCAGTTTGAGAAAGAAAAAGTATCATGAATCTTAAGATAAGTACGCACTAGTTAGACAATCACCAGTCCAGGAACGTTGGGATATCTGGGGAAAAGTTCCTTAGGAAATGCAGAGGTTGAATTGTAACCATGGAGCAATTTTGGTCTTCACATTCGCAAACATAATAGCAAAATGGGTAGTTAATAAAAGTAGGAAGACATATGTTCAAATTCCAGTCCTTGGGTTAGATTTTATCACGAGAACCAGTGGTACTACTTTTCTAATGGAACCACTTTTTTTCGGAGAGTACTTCACGTCGATCTCAGCTGATTGAAGAAAGTGTGATAATTGAATGTTCCTCAAAGAAAACCCTTTTATGTTTACACTTCTCAGGCTGGCAACTTACATTTCTCGCGTGACTAGATGTTTAAATCACTTGAGCACTAATTTGAAAAAAATACTAGTACTTATCGATCGGTGCTCATAAGACCACCTTTTCAACTACCGTACTGAGGTATAATAATGAATGTTGTTCTGAGAGGTGAGGTTAAATTTAGTTTAACGTCGCGTTGAAGATTAATGCAGACAAATAGCGATGTTCATGCACGTGTGTGGCTGCTTGTACTAGCCCGGACTTATCCCGGTTTTGTCGTGATAGCTCACTGAGATACATAAGAAGTTTAACATGGGATATCCCACTCAGACAGAGTATACTGACTCCGACCAGTCCTTGTTTTTATCCCCTTTATGCCGAGCGCCAGGCAGGGTAACAACAAGGACCATTTCTTAACATCTTTAGGTATAACGCGGCCAGTGAATCGAACCACCGACCTGCCGCTCTCCGAGGACAGACACTCTACCAACTAGACTACGGAGTCTGTTTGGAGAGAATTTCAAAAGCTATATAAATAGATCAGTAATAGGGATATCATACAAGCTATCGTACCTTCGATTTTATAAATACAAGCGCCAAAACCTTTCCCATATTCATCAGAAATCTGAGGCGATTATACAATGTCTCCATAAAACCTTTTGAATGCTTTACTGTGGCCTTGAAGTTTGTAACTTTGATGATCAAACAGCTTCTAAGCAAGAGTCGTATGACGCTCTTTGAAATCTTGGCAGAAAGAGCATGCTCGATTGTACTTCAAAAGTTGTGAAATGTAGACACCAAGAGCTGGAGCTGCAGGAATATTGCATAAGTTGAAGTCACCCCTCTTGTCATACAGTCTTGTAATGTGGACAGTGTCACTCTGAATATGTATGCATGGCTCTAAATATGAAACAGATGAGGCGGTCTCACTGGTCTCCTTTATTTCTAGGACAGGTAGGTAAATCAGTGGAAGGGAATTGGCTATTTGATGGCTATTGAACGATATCAGATCATCGAGCTTAGGTTAAAACCTCTTAGCCAATTTACCTTGTGTTGACTTTGCTAATCCGAGCAGCAAGTCATATGCATAAAAAAACTGATCAGCGGACACAATTGGTGCACATGGGGATGCACCATCTTGACTAGTTCCCACATCGGTAAAGGCATTTTCGAAGGTGAAGAAACTAGTGTTTACCGTGGTATTAGTCTCAACATTTTATTATAATTAATTGCAACTTGGATCTAAATGATAGCATTCCTGCGTTCTCATTGCCTCTAACGATAACGAAGAGTTGCTTGTAGCGTTGCTGCTACCGTTGCAATACATTATATGAATCAGGTTAACGCACCAAATGGCTCATAAATACTGCCTGCAGATACGGTTTATAGCCATGGGCGAACACCAGGCCTACATCTCAGGGGAAGGCACTTCTCTGTAAATATTTAATCTTCCCTCGCCCACTTAAAGATGTGGATGGCTTTAATGGGACGAGTATATACAGTTACATTGGGGCTGTATGTAGAGAACACAGGCTCAAATCATTTTATGGTTCCTGCTGTGATGATTTATTTAGCTACTTATATGTGTTCTTCAAAAGACACTACCACTTGATTAATTGCATATATTGATACCTACCCACAGAACACTTCCAAGTGCTCTGGTGTCCAAAAATATTGCCTATTTTTTATTACATCTGTTCCTATCTACAACGCTTCCAGTCAACTTTTATGTTAAAAAAAAAGAAATTTATATACAGAGTACATGCTTTTAAGGAGGTATTTAGGTATCAACGACAGGATTTCTTTAGCGTTGTAGCTATAAAACATTAATTCGCAAAGAATGTTACATGAAAATACATTTCCCTATTAGAACAGTAAATGTAAGGGTCTGCAAGCCATTCAATGTCAACCACCAAAATGTGTGAGTGAGTATGGTTTTATGCCGCTTTTAGCAATAATCCAGCAATATCACGCGGCGGGGGACACCATAAATAGGCTTCACACATTGTACCCATGCCGGAAATCGAAACCGGGTCTTCGGTGTGGCGGGCGAACGCTTCAACCACTAGGCCGACTAAAATGGGGAACGACAGGTCAGGCTCTTTGACCTGACTGATTGTATGTCAACGTATCCAAACGGCGTGGGATGTTGACCATGCCATCAACAACAGGTTTGCATCCCCCTAGACACGATATTTACAGGACAATGAGATACAGCTGGAATGCGGCTAACTGCGATCGATGTAGACCATTAACCAGTATCAAAACACGACAGACATCCTCGCGAAGTATATGGATGCAATGGAGAAGGAAAGGACAAGTTTTCAGGAAGACTTTTATGCGTGCCATTGACTTTTTAGTACATCTTAAGGTAATGATTCAACTAAAGATACAGCCAATGCACCGTTCTCTCTCTAATTCTGTGTAAAACTGTAAAATAAAGTATTGCTCAACTAAAATTAGTAGTCCAATCATTTTGAAAACTGTTTGTTGTAATATACAGGATTGTGTAAATATTTGGCCTGACATCAAGCACGTTATATTTCGTATTCAGGTAAGTGTCAAATCTTTAAGACATTAATTACTGTAACAGCAACCATATATTAAACTAATGTAGCCGGGTTGGTTCCTTAGCTTTAATAATCTCAATGAATGAAACGAGGTAATATGTCTCATATATATTACACTGAACGTGTATTTGTGTGTTCTTTACTAATGTAATTATGACATCGACTCTGATGTTACGAACAATGTTTACTGTTTGTGAGGAAGTGCCTTAACACGAAAGAAAGTTTAATATAAAGTGTACTTTGTAGCGAATGCATTCATAATTATTGACTACCCATGCCACTCATCACGGAATTATACACAAACAATCATTGCATGTGTCGTCTATGTTTACGCTATGTAAAGTAATCCTGTACTCCCAGCACTTTAACTCTTCTTCAAGGGGCGCAGAATATTCGTCAATAATCATGAAGCGATTGACTGACAAAAAGCGCTTGATTGCAAGCATAAAGATATTAGCACACTTTTCCAAGTGTGCATACATATTTTAAGCTAAACGGCAAAGGAAGGTTGCTATTTTGATCCACTCAAAGTTAGTTTTTCATGCGTAACCGCGCAACTTCAAGTTCAACATGGTGCTTAAGTAAACATGACGCTTTTTCATATTGAATATTTCAACTATGATATCGGGAGAGCCAGAGTACAAGTTTTCAAAAACAGTCCCATGATCTTGTCCATATGTCTTTCTGTTATTCACGTGTACTTTTCGACAATTTAAGAATTATAAACTTGTGGAAATGTACGTTAGGACAACACCTTATCTTTAATAAACACTCATTAAAAACAAAGCTCACCTATTCCAGACTTGCCATTGACATTCCTTCACTGCAGACAACGGTATGACCGCCCACATTACCAGGCGTCAGAGTCCTATCCAAAGTAGCATTTCGAAAACGAACATGAAAGACAAACAAGTGTTGTGTATTTGGTTTTCCTCACTGGCAATTACTTTGCTTCAACCGTCATGTAAACAATCGTGTTTTAGTTTACAAACCTTTAAGATGCGTTACTTTTGAAGTGATTGTCAAAATAATTCTTCAAAATTACCTTGCGATCATTGCTGACAAGCAATGACACAAGTTTACTATGGTAACATGACATGTACAAAACAAATATATGTGGGAACGAAAGCGACAAGAACCTTTCCATAATCATAAGAGATATCTGCTGAAAGACACGTGTGATGAGACGTGTTTATTTTAAGAAGTTTCTGCTAAAACAGAGTACTATACCAGGTGTTCGCGAAAAGGTTAGCGTGTAGAGCCATACTGTTGGT